GCGGCTGTTGCTGAGGCAGAGACGAGCGAGGATTTTGATGAGTGCCGCCAGCGCGCCTCCCGCGCCCTCTGCCTGACCCTCTCGACCCGAGCCTTCAAGCGGGCGAGCTTCTGGTCCTTGCCTTTTTGTGCTGGCCCGACGCGTCCGAGGCCTCGGCCTTGCGCTTGGTCTTGAGCCACGCTGGCGGTGCCTCGACCTCCATCGTCTACAATAGGAAGAATACGAAACTGATTTCGAAGATGATCGAAGCCTCACATAGAAGACAGACAAACGAATTTGTTTGTTGACGTACCTCAGATGTTGCGCTTCTGGATGCTGTGCATACCCCTGTTCCGAACGACCTGACGAGATATTTGTAGACGTCGTTCTTGCCTTCGAAGATGGTACTGCACACCTAACACAGGTTTGCGAAGACTGCCTGGGACAGTACCGCCCTGAATACATGATGGTTATGCAATGCATATGTGCGAGTAGCTGCCGACGTGCATGAAATCCACGCGTGCACCACGTACAGAACATCTGTGATCACCTGCATTATCATCCTCATCCTGTTGTCCAGGTTGTGCGGGAGGGGGACCTGGATGGCCAGGGGGAGGAACTTGATGGGCCCTAGCTTTCTTGACATCATATTGGCTAAACCATTGGACAGCCGCTTGATTTTGAAATAGACTATGCCACCTGTTCGAACTCCTCATCGCCGATGCCCGCGAGCGAATTGATGTCCGAACCGAATGTCTGGGCCCAAGGGCAGGCCGCAGTGCCAAGCCTCCCTTGGTCACTTACGATGCTGAGGTTGTTTTCGAGTTCGACTCGCATGCTACCCACGAGACCGTCCCATTCTGAAAGACGATAACCTGGAGCCGAGACCCGTGCCTGATGCCACGTCAATCTGCGAGAGCGAGCCTCAGTCTCCAGCGGCGCGGAGCGCTAGTATCTGAATAGCTTCACATGTGTGAGCAAGACTGAGTGATCACCTTGATCGATGGTAGCAGCACCCGCCCTCATAGCCCGACGGGCATACCCAAGCACGTGAGACTGGAGCTTCTCAAAGTGGGCTGCAGCTGAGATGAAACTCTCGACTCCTGCAAGCACTGGGCCTAAGACTCGACTGGGATTTTTTTTTTTCGGAAGGGAGCCTTCGGCTGATACCAGTACCGATTCAGTGCCGCATATGTTGAACCAGCGGCTGCCATTCGCACGGGTAATTCGGTTGACAAGGTCGAGTCTGTTCGCAACATTCTTCCAATCATGCGGGTACGGTCATTTACTGCTCCTGCTGTCGGAAGTGCGCCTGCTTGACATTGTTGATGTGTATGTTTGTTTCCAGTCCCGAATGCTGATGCCACTGTCTCATTTTTAGTAGGGTTGCTCGTAATTTCGTTTCTGTATGTGCGTGCTGATCACGTTATAGCATTGCTGTGTTACTAAGTTCCCTGCCCACGTCCTCCTCCTCTCCACCAGATACCAACACATACGTGGCGTCACCTATCTAGCTGTGGAAGGTGAGGTCTAGCTCAATGATGGAGTCGAGGATGGGTATGTCTACAAGTCACATTGTTGTGTCATGACCCCCCATGTTCATGTAGTCGTCCTGGACCCCAGAGAACGTTGTGCCCCATGTCACGTGCAAAGACCTCTACAGTCCATGGATCCCCCTGGAGGGCCCCTACCCGAGGCCGAGCACATACCTATACGACCACCCTTCGGGTGATGAGGAGGTTGTGGGGGGGGAGAGGGGGGGGAACCAACAACTGACTCAATCGATCTCACTATCGATTTCACTCCATGGGACACCACGGGGCACCACATCGATCTCAGTATCGATCTCACTATCGATCTCACTCAACGGGACACCACGGGACACCACGGGCCACCACGGGACACCACGGGACTCCGCGGGACACCACATCGATCTCACTATCGATCTCACGATCGATCTCACTCAGCGGGACACCACGGGACACCACAGGACACCGGCGGGGCACCACATCGATCTCAGTATCGATCTCACTATCGATCTCACTCAACGGGACACCACGGGACACCACGGGACACCTGTCGATCTCACAATCGATCTCACTCAACGGGACACCACGGGACACCTCGGGGCACCACATCGATCTCAGTATCGATCTCACTACCGATCTCACGATCGACCTCACCCAACGGGACATCACGGGACACCTCGGGATACCAGCGGGACACCGCGGGCCGAAGCAGTTACATTCGGCGGGACACCGGCGGGACACTGGCGGGACACCGGCGGGCCCAGTCCCGGCCACCGCCTTCTGGGCAACCGACTGTCGCTCCTACTTCGGCCTAGCCACAGGAGGATCACGCGCAGCTTCGCCTCTCCCGCACGCACGACACGAACACGAAACCAAAACCGATTTCCCGGTGGGGGGTCTCCGTTTCACTGCGATCTCACCCCCCAACTTCCGATAACCCCTTTAGGACCAGAACACAGACAGCAGCATGATGAATTCGCAGTTCACAAAATCGGCCTTCGTGATCTCGCACGATGGTAGTGTTAGCCTGAGAGAGGGCCTCGAAGGAAGTACTGCCAAACGCGTTGGTAACATCTTTGTGCTCCCTCAAGAAAGGAGTGCCAAGCCGTCGGAGGCGCCAGCCAAGAGTTTGTTGTATCATCATGGGTGTTGTTCGTCGTGCGCGTGACATGCAACCGTGCGAAACATGAGGTTCAATAGCTCGTTCAGCTTGGGGTATACACGATGCGATGAATGCTTGGCCAGATAGGCAGAGAACATGATTGACCCTCTTGAAATTGATGGCCACGCAATGCGAGAGGTTCCACACTAATCGCACCTGGCTGGTGCGATAATTCTTGTGAATAAGACACGTTGGGAAAAACGTGTATGCTTCAAATCCATATTCCGGGACTCGAAGTCCACCCCGCGATACCGCTTGGAGGTGCGACGGTAAGGGCGGACATCATCCAACACAGTTTCAATGGCAATGACCACGGGGGCGATGCTCTACGTTTCCCTGCTGTCCGAAGTTGACGTGCAACGAGTTGTAGCTTTACGCGAGACCAGCCGAGTCCTTGCTGCGTGAAGGGGCAGGTGATGTTGGAGGACTCCTTCTTCTCCATATGGAAATTCATGGACGTGGGTATTCAAATTTACCACTTCAGCTTCCATTCCACCTTCACCAGAAGTTAATTGAACTCTACTTGGCAAATCTTGCGCCGTCGGTAGGGTCTTGATCGCTCTTCTGCATTTTCTTTTGCGCGGTCCTGTGCCTCGCGCGGATAATACTATGGAGAGTCGTGCGACCTCAGCTTTTTGGCCCAATCGATTTGCTTGAAGCAGCTCCTCTGTAATGTCAGCCCGCTATTCACGTAGATGCCTTCGTCGAATTCGTCTCTGATGCTGACACAGTGCATGCAGTTGCCGAGTAAGAGAAGCTTCCAAGTCTTGATCTGCTTGTTGCAGCTGCGATCGTAGCTGCCGGCGCTGGTGTAGCAGATCAGCCACTTGCTTAGAACGCTGTCGATAGCCAGGGTGTGTTTCATGAGATGTCGTAATTGACTGTTTTTCTCTCTTCTCCAGCAATATGTAAGAATCGGCCCCCTTCACAATTGGGTGTTTGTTCCTCGCGCCTGATCAGAGAAAACTCCGTACTGGTGTCGATAACGTGTCTTCAACCGCCATCAAACATTCTGCTCGGTTCGTGCCGCGCCTCAACGGGTCCATCAATGATTCTCGATGCAACCTGATCTGTTGAGAAAATAAACAAATCCGAGAGTCCTCTTCAATACGACTAGGAAGCCCAATAGCATCTGCGACCGGGTAGAGAAGACGGGCGTGCACTGGTACGTGATCGCGAGGGAGTCGTGATGGTATTGTATGGAGTTCTTGAGTCAGGCGTCGAAGAGGTCCAACTGACGTAGCAGACGTAAGTATGCACCGTGGAACAAAGATGTAGTCAATCTGTGAGCTTGCATGTGGCATCTGCACCCTGGAATGTACTGAGAGCTGCCATGTCGAGGTCCTCCATGAACTTGAGTAAGATGTCTGCGGAGTAGCGCCGTCGAACACGTGCGAAATCATTTCCAATCCCAGTTGATTCAATTTCTGTCCACTGCTCAGATCCAGCCACACGTTGAAGTCCGAAGCCAGAGTTGAGATCTAAGCACGCAATAGGGAGATATCGATGAATACTACGCCTTGAAACTTGGGGACCAAGAGTGATAGCACAGCCGGCGAAACTATTGGCATGTGGTCCTCGACGCCACCCTGCCGAAACACACCAACGAGCCTCGCCTCCTTCGGTGGCAGAGGTCTTCTTCCACTGTGCAGGTGGTTCCTTGTCGAAATGCGCTTCCTGTGTACCATTCAAGCACTTGAAATCCATGTTCGAGGCCCGCCCCGTAATCTCTTGGAGTCGTATCGCACACGAGGCAGAGAGTGGGTTGTACTGCAGGGCAGACAACGCCTTCATGAGGCCTGGCCGACAGCCGCCGTTGTGCTGTTCACAGCAATTGTAAAGAAGAGCTACAAACTAAACTGTTATCGCCGGATATGTGTGATAGTGCCGAAACGCTGGTAGGCTACGATCAGCGGGTTGTGTCATCCGAGAAATGGGTGCCCGAGCCGAAGGGCACTCAGAGGACGAGGAGGAGGAGGAGGAGGAGGAGGAGGAGGAGGAGGAGGAGGAGGAGGAGGAGGGGGGGGTGGAGGAAGAGGGGGGGCCATTATTTCCCCGCAGCCGCGTGGTGCGGCGGGACAGCGGGAGAGAGAGAGAGAGAGAGAGAAGCCAGGCTCGCGCCCCAGGCTGGTGCACCCCACGCTCCGCGCTCCTCCATCTCGGCCATACCACCCTTGGCATCGCTCGGACGTGCGCAGCGTGTCGTGGCGAGGACCGTCGAGGAGTCTCTGGGATCACCTAGCGAACACGTAGCCGCACGAGATCGCAGCGTGCACAGGGGATGGACGTCCGAGCGGTGGCGAGCCCCCGACCCCGCCGCGCGCCGCGAGGACCCCGCGGCCCAGAGCGGCGAGCGAAAGGCCACTGAGGTCGAGGAGGCACCCACGCAGCCGCAGGCCGCTTCCTCGACGACGACGGCGATGGCGAGGTGTGGGGGGGGCGGGGGGGGGGGGGCGCCTTGGAGGGAGGGGCATCCTGGGGGGCCCTGGGGCGGCGAGCGGGTTCTCGGAGCGCCCCTGGGGGGGCACATCTCGGCGCGATGGTCACTGTTTCCACTCCTGGGGCCTCAAGGGGGGGCAATTGTGACCTCCTCCTCCTCCTCCTCCTCCTCCTCCTCCTCCTGCATGACGTGGAGCACGGTTGAAGGAGGGCTGCAGACGAGGAGAAGGTGGAAGAGGGCATTGCGGAGGAGGGCGAAGCGAAGGAGGGGGAGAAGGCAGCGGAACGGGCGGCAATGGTAGTTCCGAGTTCTTTGGGTGAACGACCAATGACATAAACATACAAACTCTGAGGTCCGTGCGGATTTCCGAGTTTTTATGTTTATGCAATTTTTCGTTCCTTTAGAAAGGGCGCGGCAATGGTAGTTCCGAATTCTTGCTGCAGTGTCAGTGGTTTCCCCGTCTGCAAGGGCGGGGTGGCAGGATATCCTCGGGGGGGCACCCTTTAGTGCTACTCGTCGTCAGTGTCTTCCGTTGGCCACTCCATCGGAGGCCATGAGCAGCCTGACGGACGGATTCGACTTGCCCACGCAGGAGGAGCCGGAACCCGACGGTGCAGCCCCGCAGGCAGTTCGCTGTGGCAACACAAATATGATTTCGTGCCTCTCCGCTCCAACACTTGCCAGGCTTGGAAGCAGGACTTCTCTCGTTCTGACCCCGTCTCTACATGATGTCATACGCGTGCGCACATATCGGAGCGATGGTGATTTGTTCCACTCTGGCAGCATCAGGGGGACGAGAATGAAGAGGAGGATGAGAAGGAGGTGGGAGTAGACGAATCAGAAAAAGGAATGAGGCTTGCGGCATCATCGCTGCCCTTCTGACCGCTGTCTGTGCTTGAGGCCACTGGACAGTATGTCGCCCCGTGCGGGATTGCCCCAGTTCGTCCTCTTTTGTCCTCCTCCACTTCCTCCTCGTTTGCAGTCCCATCATCCTGGGGCATCAGTATTTCCTTGCGTTTCAGGCGCGCAGTAGAAGTATAATCTGGCACGCATGCACCTCACATGCTGTGGAGGTTCATTGCTTCCGGTAGAAACGGTATGACGTGGAACACTATTGAAGAGGGTTGGCGACGAGGAGGAGGTAAAAGAGGATATTCAGGAGGAGGATTAAGCGAGGGAGGGGAATAAGGCGGCGGAAAGGCCGGCAATGGTCGTTCCGAATTCTTGCCGGAGTGTCAGTGGCCTCCTCGTGATGATAAAATTGAACCCCTTTTCCCAGCATGTGGCAGCATGCGCCATAAAGGCCATAAAGCATAACATGCCAGTCTCCGAAGGTCCGAAACCTGGCGTGTCAGCGTCTCCGTGGTGACATTTTGCACTTTGCCGCTCAGGACGCAGTATGCACCATAAAGTATGGTACGCCAGTTTCCGAAGGTCGCAAATCAGGTACCTGGCGTAGGTAGGACCACTGAATGGAAATTCTTCAGGAGGGGCATACAGAAGGAACTCGAGAGCCGAATGGGCAACATCGGTTCCACAAAGCGCGGACAGTTCAATCTGTTTCCAGTCGCATTGTCGCTTCCTCGATTGGTGCTGCGTTGCGCTATCTGGTAATCAACAGAACTAGTTTCATCCGTGAGACTATTGTGGAAGTGATTGTTGCAGCGGGCGAAGAGGCCGGGCGCCAGTGCAATGAACCACTCGCCACTTCCCCGGGGGTGGCAGTCACACAGGCTTGTTCCATTGTGCTTCGCAGGCTTCGTGTTCGACTCCCCCCCCTGCAGTCTGACAACGCTCTCCGTGTTTGCTCGCAAGGCTTGCAAGCGCAATCGCACGTTGGAGAAGCTGGTCGTGTGCCCACTTCGTTGTACCATGCGCGCCTCCAAGCAACCATTAATGAAGCAGTTCACCAGGATGCCGCCCGTGCTGACAATCACACAAGCTTACTGAGCCCGCAGAGCGAGAGTCTGGCGGGCTTTCCGAGGGAAATTCGCACGCAGATTTGTTGCGATCATCTGTAGGGGAGCAAATAATAACATAAACATAAAAAAAATCGGAGGTCCGCGTGGACCTCCGAGTTGTTATGTTTATGCTATTTCTCGTTCCCCTAGTCTGGTGTTCGGGATATGGCTTCGACGAGGGTCGGCACCACTCAACGCAGCGTTTCTAAAGACCATCTCTCGACGTACCTAGGAGGGGGGCAGGCGATCTTAGAAGCTAGCTGGCGGCCTCTGGGGGTCCACGAGCCACGATGTGCTTGAAAAGTGCGCCGAATCGATGCTTCCCTGAATCTCCTCCTCCTCCTCCTCCCTCCCTCCTCCTCCTCCTTCTCCTCCTCCTCCTCCTCCTCCTCCTCCTCCATCTCCTCCTCCTCCGCCTCCTCCCTCCTGCCTCCTCCCTCCTCCCTCCTCCCTCCTCCCTCCTCCCTCCCCCTCCTCCCTCCGCCTCCGACGCCTCCGCCTCCTCCTCATCCTCCTCCTCCTCCTCCTCCTCCGAAGCGGTACCAAAACCGCTGCCCTTCGCCCGTGTTCCCCCTTTATGGGCCTCCCTGGAGCCTCTCGTCGTTGTGGCTGCATTCGCCTCGAAATCCTGGTCAGAACGCACCCTGGGAGAGGTCTGGTGAGTAGCGGTATTGGTACCTTCTTTTTCGTTTCCCCAGAAGTGTTTGAGGGGTGCGCCGAATCGAAGCTCCCCTGAACTGTCTGTGGGGTCAGCTGAGGACCACTGGGAGTCTATGAGGCACGACGTGTGTCATGGGTGTGCCGAATTGAGGTTCGATTCAGTCGTCTTAAGGGCCAGCGGATCGTCTCTGGAGGTCCATGGGGCACGACATGCGTGAGGGGCGTGCCGAATTGCGGCTCCAAGGAGCTGTCTTGGGGCCATTTGAGCGCCCCTGATACAAGAAGTGCCTCAGGGGTCTGCGGAATTGAGATTGTCAGGATAGCTGCTCGTATGCTTACTCCCATGAGCCTTGAGCCCCAAAGCATTAGCACCTTGACTCTTGACGTGTCTCGGGAGCCTGAGAGCGCATATCACTCGTACTTTGACGTCTCCCATGGAACATCGGGGAGCATCGACAGGTGGATGATGCCTTCAGCTGGCCGGCGGAATGCGCGAAGCTGCTTTTAGCATGCGTGCATGCGTGCACACGCGCATGCATCTCACTCTCCTCCATCATCATCATCATCATCATCATCATCATCATCATCATCATCATCATCATCATCATCATCATCATCATCATCATCATCATCATCATCATCATCATCATCATCATCATATCCTCCTCCTCCTCCTCCTCCTCCTCCTCCTCCTCCCTTTCAGCACCTGCCCTCGAAGCTTCACGCGGCGGGGGCCTGCAGGGCGCCCGCCGACTGGAGCCCACGGAGCGGGATGGCACAGCGGGCCGCGCCATTCAGGGGCAGCTCGCACGCGAGTTTACGGTCAGCGAGTGCTCGGGGTGTGGCGTCGGTAGGTTCCTGCGGCGTTGGCGCGCTGGCGACGCCGGCGAAGGCTTTCGAGGTTGGATTCCGCATGATGTCGGGGGCAAGGATAAAAGGGGGGATAGGCATAGGGGAGGACGCATCGACCCCCAATCGCCCATTGATCGCCGATAGGGGCCCGATAGCCCCAGCCTGCCCAGGAAGGCCCGGATTCACTCTCGGGCGCCTATCTCCGATCGATCGGCGATGTATTGCCGATTCCAGGTTGATGCATACCCCCTATGCCAGTTCCCCCCTATCGTTGCACCTCGTGATAGAGAGACGCGGAAGCACTGAGGGACACGGTAACGCCACAGGGCCCGACGGAGTGTAACCTTGAGCGATGGGGGCCGCGATCGGTTCAAGGTTGAACGATCGACACGGTGTCAAAGACTTTTGCGCGCGCCGACGCCGCGCGAACCTACCGTATGACTAGTGGCGAGGGTCCTTCGTAGGCTCCTCGCCCGGACTTGACTTGACTTGGCTTGGGTGCTCGGGGTATGTCTTCGACGGGGGTCGGTACCGTTCGTTGCAATTTTTCTCAGGGTCGTCTTGCCGCCCTTCGGGGAGCCAACAGGCCAACAGACGGCCTTCGAGGGCCCATGATGCACGAACTGCACGAGGGGCGCGCCAGATCGAAACCCCTCTGAACCGTCTACTTGGCATCGCTCGGACGTGTGCATTTTTCCTTCGGCGAGGGCCATCGAGGAGCATCCTTGATCATTTGGCGAAAAAGCCACACACGAAACCGAAAAAAAACACAGGGAATGGACGTCCGAGCGATGGCGAGTCTAAGGGGTCAGCTGCGGGCCCCTGGGGGCACACGAGGCCCGAAATGCGTGAGGGGTGTGCCGAATGGAGGCTCCTCCTCCTCCTCCTCCTCCTTCTCCCCCTCCTCCTCCTCCTCCTCCTCCTCCTCCTCCTCCTCCTCCTCCTCCCTTCAGGCGTCTGAAAGGCCAGCGGATCTCCCCTGATTCGTGTGGCACAGGTGCGTAGGGGTTGTGCCGAAGGGCGGCCCGAAGGAGCAGCCTTGAGGGCCGCCCGAGCCCGCATGGTGCACTGACTGCGCGAGGGGTCTGCCGAACTGAGGCTCCTGGGAAGATGAAGCTGCGACTCTCTTGTGACTGACGTGTCTCAGAGCTCTGGGCGCGCTGGAAATGCTGGAGGTGCGTGCTGAATTGAGGCCTTCGCAGCCCCGGGGGCACACATCGCTCGTGTGTTCGTGTGCCCCAGGCGGGTCAAGGGAATTGGCCGCCGTCGGGCCAGCGGAATGCGCAAGGCGGCTCCCAGCATGCATGTATTCACCTCCTCCTCCTCCTCCTCCTCTTCCTCCTCCTCCTCCTCCTCCTCCTCCTCCTTTCCTCCTCCTCCTCCTCCTTAGCTCTTACTCGACCCTCGTGAGTCAACACGGCGAGGGCCCGCAGGTGGCCCCACCGAACGCCACCGCTTCGCTCGCTCCACGGGCCCGAGCAGCATTACTGGCACTGCTCTGGCTCCCTCCTCCTCCTCCTCCTCCTCTCCTCCTCCTCTTCCTCCCCCTCCCCTCCTCCTCCCCCTCCTCCTCCTCCTCCTCCTCCTCCTCCTCCATCCTCCTCCTCCTCCTCCTCCTCACCCCTCCTCCTCCTCCTCCTCCTCCTCCTCCTCCTCCTCCTCCTCGTGAACTCGCGTGGGGGAATGATATTAGCAGTGCAGGTGCAGTTCCACGCTCAACGGAGCACGATGCAATCGAACTACTGTCGTGGAAGCCCTTCCACTTCACAAGGGGAGAGTTCGCAACGCCTGAGGTCCTGAAGCACCCCTCAGGGGCGCTTTTGGGCTGACGTGGCGCCGGCTTAAGGCTCTCTCGGGCGGGGGTTCCTCTGGTGGCGTCTTGGTGCAGCCGTGGGGCCGTCTTGAAGCTTGCTGCCCAAGAACCGGTTGTCTTGCGCCGGCCTCGGAATGTGTTAGGCTCCAGTAGGCCTTCCGTGGGCTCTAGCGGGGGGCCGTTGGGAGTCACCGCGGGGATCCAGAAGCTTGTCCGCATGGAGCCTGGCGCGCTCTTGACCCGCTCGGTCGGCGGGTTTTCAGATTCTCTCTTATACCAGAACGCATCCCGATTTCTTCACTCTCACTCTCTTTTGCGGTTTAGCCCTGAACGGACAACAGGAGGGATGACGGATTAGGAAGGATGAGATAATATTCAATGGGACGATTGGAATGTTTTTCGGTAGTGTGAGTCTATTAGCCCACCGTCCAAAAGAGATAGTCATTGCTACTCTGTGTTGAAGCTTCTAGCTGCCATCGCAGCAGTGAAGAAACACATGGCCAGCCACATGAGTGAAAAAACACGCGCACGGCCAACGGAACAATGAACATCCACACGCCTTGCGCAGGGAACATGAAGGCGTCTAGCAGAAGGAAAGCCGAGAGGAGGCAAAGAGAGGGGGGGCGGAAGCCATACGCGATCGAACTCCAGACTTCCGAGCGCACTGGCCTTGTCTTAGATTTCGTCCCAGCCTGGGACTCCCCACCTCACCCGTGTCCCAGCCAGTCCAGTCAGACAGACGCGGCTAGCGCAAGACCAGTGTTGTTCAAGGAGTTCAGTCGGAGGGAGGAGGGAGGAGGAGGAGGAGGAGGAGGAGGAGGAGGAGGAGGAGGAGGACGGTAAGTGCGGGGTCGATCCTGGATCCACCTGCACAGCGCTGCGGCTACTAGTGGGTGCTGGCGAAATTACGTCTTCGCGAAGCTTCGCCATTCGCGAAGACTGGCGTCTACTCTGGCGAAGGAGGGTGTGGAGATTCGCTCACCGGGTTACGGCCTTATCTTCTGGAAAATGGTCGTTACGAGCTACTCTGTGGGACGCTAGCAGGGACAGGCGAGCAAAAGGCAGGCTTCAGAACCGCCCGCGCAAGAGGTGGGCTGACGATATTTGCGCTTACCTACAGTCCCAAGGGTATGATGCAGGACATGACCGATGGTTTCTTCTGCCTTTCTCTGATGAGCAGTGGTCGGCGCTTGAAGATGGCTTCCTCGACGTCCCCATGTGAGCGCCACGGCGCTGCGCGCCCATCCCCGTAGTCGGGACAGCTCTGCTGAGGCGGCGCCCTCCTCCTCCTCCTCGCCATTCGCTGCAAACTTTCAGCTTTCAAGCAATTCACCGTCGACGTGCTAAAGGCGATGCAGGCAGCGGCGATGTAGGTTTCGGCATTGTAGGTGGGACTGGTTCGTGGCCGAACCACTTGTAGGAAAGCTCGGTTCGCGCTTTACTGCAATTCACTGTGCCGTGTTTGCTTGATACATATGCATATCTGACATGTAGGGGAGTGAGGGTCGTGCTTTCTTGCAAACTGTTCTGCGCCAGTTCGGCGTCGCAAAAACCATATTCCCGACGTCACTGTTAAAAAAATCATCACCATTCGCGCGGCCTTGTATTCAAGTGCTTCCTTCCGAAACGCTCCTCACTCTAACCCACCCCTGTCCCGACCACCCAGTCCAGACCCGACTAGCGCCCGACTGGCGCTGTGCAAGGAGGGCGATCGGAGGGAAGATGGAGGAGGAGGAGGAGAAGGAGGAGCAGGAGGAGGAGGAGGAGCAGGAGGAGGAGGAGGAGGAAGAGGAAGGTAAGTGCGGGGTCGATCCTGGATCCACCAGCACAGCAAACTCAACGTGCATCCTGTCAAAACTGCTTCGTCGCGAAGCTTCGCCATTCGCTGCAAACTTGCGTCTCACGAAACACATCGAGCGTCTCCTCTCGAATCGGTCATCGGTCCAAGTGTTGCTTTTCGGGGAACCTGGCGTAGGACTAAATGTTGCTTATTCCTCACTCTCTCCTCCCTGGCCCTCCCTTTGTTCCTTCTTCGCTCTTCTCCCTCCCGCAGTGATGTGCTGGAGATGTGCGGCGTCTCGTGCACGACAATTGCCAGTATAGTCGGCCAGCACACTTTATCTGGCCAGGGTACTTCGTCGTGGTGCTATCCAGGGAGGCTGCCCTGCAGCCCATGTCCAGCTTGCGCGTCGAGTCGTCGGGAAATCCAGAACTTGCGCGGGCTGAGGTCCCACTGCAATGTTTTCTCAGTGCTTCAAATCGATTCGTGTCCTTGTCCTCCTCTTCCTGCGGCTGCCGCGTCCGCTCCAGAGTGGGACGTCCTGGGCCGCAGCCGAGTACTTGTGCGGCCAGCTGTTTCGCCAGCTCGCGCTGTACCGCGCGATGGATGTGCAGGGCAGCGGAGACTACCGCGGAGTTTTTCCCATCACGTTTCTACCAAAGTGCGCGAGCCTCCTCGTGCTCGCTTGCCAATGGAGCAATGAGCTAAGCTTTGCACCAACATGCCACTCGTAATCTGAAGGCTTCGCCCTCTGGCGCCGACTGTCTTCTGACTGCTTGCATGCCTTTGCTTGTTCGGTTGGTTGGTTGCTTACTTGATTGGCTTGTCGGCTGGCTGGCTGGCAACTCGGCTAATTGGCCTGCTGTCCAAAGAGATGGTTGGCAGTTGATTTTGGCTGGTGGCCAGCTGGCTGGTCGCGTGCACCTGTAGTAATTGACAAGGGATGGTGCCCTCGGGAGCGCACTTCCCTTATAAGTTCCGAGGGTTCGCGCGGTTGTGGCCTCGGGTTGCGAGCGCGTCCTGATCTACGAAGGGTTGCGGCCTCGGGGGCCCGAGGTGTTCGTACTGTGTGACAGACTGTTGGCTCTGGAGCACGAGTTCGTAGGAAGTTGCTATCGGTTGTGGCCTCTGGTGCGCGAGATCGATGTAATGGTGATTGGGTTGTGGTCCCAGGAGCTCGAGCGTATCGAAATTCACTTGGGCGAATGAGTAAGCACCCGTACTCGGAACCTCCTACCCGCGATTCTAGCACGCTTTCTGCCCGTTGGGCTGGAGACTTTCCATAAGGCAGGGAGCAGGATGTCCGAATGTGTTCTTCCTCTGGGTCCAATATTGGCTTGGTACTAAACAGAGCGGGCTGGCACGATAACTTCGAAGGGCGTTGTTAGATGTTGATTGTGGCGAGGTCTTCCGGTTGTTTCTCTATTTCTGGTCGCCCCGTGCCGAACAGGCTAGCAGCCCATTGTCGGCGGCATTCAATGCCGTGCGCACGCAGGATGAGCCCGAACCTGGCGCAGAAGCCCCCAAGGCATCGCATCGTCGCCGTCACTCTTGTCTTGCATCGTATCCCTCCATCGTCTCCTCTTGCCAAGTGCTGCGCCATACTTGCACGCACACAGTGTGGACGAGCGCCGAGCACGCGTGGAGAGTTTGGCGGGGCTCGGCATTCACAATCGGAACGGCTCGAGGACGGAGCAGTGAGCACAGCGATGTTCACGTAAGACGTTTTTTGGGGGCCCATGGTTCACCAAGCATTTTCTTTTGAGGGATACCCGCAAACGCCGTCAGCGATACCGTCAGCAGATAATGGGGAAGCACACGTGGTCCGAGGGCATTGCGGGTAGCAATTGGGAGAGGTGTCAGTTTGAGATTCGAGTATGGGTTGCCGACCCCCATCTGCCGACCAGCGACAATCACATACCTATAAGACCACCCTCCGGCGGATCAGGATGTAGGGGGTTGCGTGCAGCGTTCGGTTTGCGATTGGCGTCGGATCGCATTTGCGATCTATCTATGCATATACATGTCTGTAGATATAGATCGACCTATCGATCTATTGATCGATGGCCTAAAAACTGATCTCTCCACGTATCTACGGTTCCCACTACCAACATGTTGATCAAACTCTCGACCTGTATGTATATATGAATGTCGTTATCGTCTGTTTTATCTGTCTACTTATCTACCTATCGCCCCCACTGGTGTGTATATATATATGTACGTATACGCATATACATATGTATGTACGCTTGTATCGAACGATACACGCACGCACGCATTTGTATGTATACTCACACGCATGTATATAAAGACGGGGCAACCACAGGACACGACAGCTACGGGACAACCACGGGATATCCGCGGAACAACCACGGCGTAACAACGAGACAACCGCGGGACAGCCACGGGACAACCACGGGACAACCACAGGACTACCATCGGTCAACCACGGGTCAACCACGGGACAGCCGTGGGACAACCGCATGGACCCCACAGGACAACCACGAGAACCCGATCTAATTATTCTACAGTCTCGCCATTCAATTCAGAGGCTTACGCCGTTCCGCCCGCTCCCCAAAGAGGAATTGTGCAGTTTCTGATGCCAGTTTTCCCATGCACTGTTTGCCACTTCCCGTCGTGCTGCTTGCGTCTAGTTGTTGCTGGTTTGTTCCCCTTTCCGCGTCTGTGCTTGGGGCTTCTTGGGGGCTTCTCGGAGGCCTCGGGGGCGGCCTCCTGGAGGCTTTCTTTTTGAGGGATCGCCGAAAGCTTTTTAGGGTCTCTTGTGGGTATCGTGGGAGCGTGAAGTTATTGCTGGAATGTTCCCCTCTTCTCTTCCGCGTCTGTGTCGGGGGCGGGGGCCATGCTGGGCGCCGTGGGTGCCATCTTGGCGGCACGCAGGGCATCCTCCTCCTCCTCTTCCTCGCTCCTCGCTCCTCGCTCCTCGCTCCTCGCTCCTCCTCCTCCTCCCCCCCCTCCTCCTTCTCTTCCTCCTCCTCCTCTTCCTTGGGGGAGGGCGGGGCATCTACGAGTTTCCCCTCTTGGGCCTCTCCAGCCCCCTGTGGGGCCGTATTGGGGGTACTTCTTGGCTGCCTTGGGGGCATCGTGGGCCGTCTTGGGGCCCTCTTGGGCGGAGGAGGGAGGGGGAAGTCAGGGGGGAGGGATGGAGGGAGGGGGAAGGGCGGTCGGAGGTAGGACTACGAGCTTCCCCTCTTGGGCCTCTCCAGCCCCTTGTGGGGCCGTATTGGGGTACTTCTTGGCTGCCTTGGGGGCATCGTGGGCCGTCTTGGGCGGAGGAGGGAGGGAGAAGGAAGGGGGGAGGGATGGAGGGAGGGGGAAGGGCGGTCGGAGGTAGGAAGGGAGAGCGGGGCCCAAGCCCAGCTGCCCCAATCGAACCCGAAGGACCGGGAGGGGGCCGGCCGAATTGAGGGCGCCCCTATGCTACCACAGGCACCGCAAGATCAATCCGACGGTTGATCGAACGAGAAAAGCCAGGCCACCAAGACCCTATCGACGGCAGGGGGCGGAAAGGCGCCAGCCAGGCGCGGAAAACACAGGACAAGGGGTGGCTCCCACTTACGGTGGGATCGGGTTCCCGCTCCTGGGCTCATCCTCAGAAGTCAGTCGCGCAACGCAGCACCTGACATTCGCCAACGTGCTGCGTTCCTGCGGCGGCCCCGAGCAATCCTGCTTGAGCTGCTCAACGCACCCGCCAGCATGCACACTGCAGTGGCCGCGCAGCTCACAGAGACCCGCCGGACTCCATCGGACGATGCTGTGTTGGGCGCCGCGTAATGGGGGGGTCATAAATGGGGGGGCGGCGAGGGTGGTCCGAAAAGGTACCCAAACGGTACCTAAACGAGCCCCCTGGGGCTCTGGAGGGGCCCGAAAGGGGCACGAAAGGGGACCTTTTCTGACCCCCCCATGTGTGACCCCCCCATTAAGCCACGCCCAACTGTGGCCCGTCCCCGAGGCAGGGCCGCCCGAGGCGGGGCGAGGGAGCCGGGGCCCGACGGCCTTCAGGAGTCCAGGCAGTGCCTGCAACGGACCAGCGCCTCACCTCAGAGCCCCGAATCATCAGGGGTAACTCGGGTCAGGGCTAACTCGGGTTCCTTTTTCGGGAATCCAAGCCCGAGTTACCCCAGACCCGAGTTATCCCAGATAACTTGGGCGCCCAATCAGCTGCCTGCATCGGGGCGTGCTCCGTGGTCGGCAGGTTCGGGGGCGCCCCCGGCTGTGTTTCGGCCGAGGCGGGGCGGCCCCCACCTCTCCCAGGTGCAGGCGCACCGCCCTGGAGACCAAAGCCGCGAGGTGGCGCGCGGTGGCGGTGGCGATCTTCGGGAGGCCCTTTTGTCTATGGTTGTCCGCCAAGGTGTCCGCCACCTTGATATCCAACGCCCCTCGATATGCGGAGAACTCTGCCCATGGATTCCCGAGAGAGCGCGCGAGACTGCCACCATGGCACACATCATCGCAGGACTCATGGTGAGCGGGGATCCCCTCGAACTGACGTCTCTCGACGTCGTTCCTGCACTCCTGGAAAATCGCTCTCTATCCCGACGCATGCTTCGATGAGGATGCAGCAAGCGAAGACGACCACCTCCTAGTCTCCTCGGCAAAGCTCAGGTGGTCTGACACAATCAAACCAGGCCTCGACACCGCTGTGGGGGCCATCAGCACCGCATAGCTCTCGCCCTTGGGCACCGCCTGCTCGACACCAGGAAGACCACCATATTGTGCTCGCACTGGCGGGCCCGTCTATGGACACAGCTGGACGGCAGCCCATCCAACCCGACATGGCGTCGGATGAGCGTTGTGCAGTCTTGAGGCGTCCATGCAGACGAAAGGGCCCCACTCGTCTCCTGAGTCGCTCCACTCCAGCACGTCCATCTTTGCGTCGGGCTGCCTCGGCTGAAGCGGCTCCCTCGGCAGGCCGTGTGCCGCATGTGGAATCTAACCTTTCGCAGTCACCGCAGTTCTCGTCCACCAATTTACGCCGATCCCCTAAACTTGATCACGGCAAGTTGTCGCATAGGCGACTCCTCGAGTAGGGGATCGATTACAGAATTGATGCATTCCAAAGTTGAGTTCCCTGCCGAACACGCAAGACACACGTAGCATGTGCGCAGATCTACGGGACAGTATACGCATTTTCCATCGATTCGGCGGGCACATCATATTTGGGGTAGATCAATTTGGTAGTCGATCTCCCAATCGAGCTCTGAGCCCAGGGCGCTGCACCGAAGCTGTGGCTCCTGGAATTTGCGCTCCAACGCCTGGCAAAACTATGGGCGGCGAGGAGCCCAGGGCGCTGCGCCAGAGCTGTGGCACCTGGGACACGATCTAAAGATGGCACCTCTGATGCAGCACCGCTGGCTATACCTCTTTTGTTGGATCTCGCGTAGCAAGGTACCGAACAGCATGTCGACTCTCCCGATGTGCTTGGCCCATCTCTCAGCTATCCTTCGAGCGTGACCGATCTCGTCCTGCTCCTGGCTCTTGGGGCTCTCCTGGACGTACTGGATGTACCCACGCTTGGACAAGCATGACATCCGTGCTTCACCCACAATTTCATGGCTCTCGGCCAGCTCTACCTTGATCGTGTTCAGCACCGCAAGCCATGCAAAAGACAACTCTGATTCATTGTGTGCCTTCCCAGCCATACTGACATCTGGGTTCCACGGACATGGGTATCGAGCACATCCGCACTTCACCTCTGACGGTGGTGTATTCGGTTCGTTGATGTTGCGCAGCAATGTGGGGCCTCATTTGTTTTCGGTCCACAGGCTTATGATAGGGTGAGATTTGGTGTCCGCGTCCTCTTCTACAGTCGGCTTGGACAGTCTTTCTCTCAAAGCTTCGGCTACAAACAACACGTCAATGGTGGTTCCTGGACGAGGCTGCCTGCATGTCGTAGCTCTGCTCGTCATACGGATCCCACCAATAGGGTACAGCAGGGAAGAAACATGTTGCATCTGCGTCCACGGCAGTCCTCCTACCCTTCCAGGTTTCCACGAAAGCGGCGCCAATTTACGCTCCTCGGCTTGCAGTTGCAACCGCTTTCTCGTATGCGCCGTGTCTCCCCAGCCGTGTTAAAATGCAATGTTACTTGGCCTTCGATGCGTGGCGGCACCCGGATTTTGACGCCCGTTGTTGAAGAATGTTGTCCGCTACCATAGTCTCCCTCCCCCGAGAAAACAGAACTGCCAAGGGAGAGGAGCAACAGCTTGGGTCTGCGTAGCATCGCACCCCGCTGGATCTCCCAGGAGCCAACGAAAGCGTCGACGGTCCGACGGTGTCGCAATTAGCATCGCCCAGGGAGGGAGGTAATACCTGCACCGCTCTCCTCTGGACCCTCCAGGAACCCATGAAGGTGACGGTTGCCCAGCTGACAGCGCCCAGGAAGAGGAGTAGCATCTTGGACCTTCGCAGCACCGTTTTCCTTTGAACCGCCCAGGAGCCCACGAAAGTGTCGATAGTCGCGCAGATGGCAGAGCCCAGGCTGGGGAGTAATACTCTGGATCTGCTTAGCACCGATCTCCGCTGGGCCCCCAGGGGCCCAAGAAAGTTGCGACAGCTTGCGCAGTCGGCAGAGTAATAGTTTGGACCTGCGTAGGCCCGCACTTCGCTGGACCTCGCAGACGCCCACGAAAATGCCGGCAGGTGCGCAGCTGGTAGCGCCCAGAGGGGGGAGTAACATTCTGAATTTGGGTTGCGCGCCATCCCATCTCCCTTCAGCTTAGCTTCCACTGGGCTCGCTGGACAGGCGAACAGCTTGACGTCTGCATTCGCGGCCTTGCAGAACGACCTCAAGGCCACCAGCGAAGCCCCGAAGGCTCCTAATTGCAGTCGTTGCCGCAATGACAATGTGCTTCTCTGCCAGTCCTCTTGTGACAGCTTCCTGAAAGCTACACGGTTCAGCCCCCGAATCCGAGCAAGGGGGTGCAGAAGGACAGCAGGGAGGTCGCCATTTTTCGAGACCAGTTCCGCATACGCGTCAGGGGGATCGGGGATCGACCGCCATCCCGTGTCGATGTTCGAGGCTCTCCCCGTCCGCATCGCGGCTGAGTGCATCGATGTTGGGGCTTCTGAGCAGATGTTGCTGTGGTGCCGCACGGATTCTTCAGCTGCGGCCAGCGGAGATTTGCACGCCGTTGCGTCTGTGTGTCTGCTTGGGTCCTGGCTTGCGCTCTATTTGGCCGGTTTGGGAACGATCACTCTACACCCCCTCGTTTGGTACAACAGGGCGCTTTTAGTTTTGTCGCCTGAGGGTAATGAGGTCAAGCGGCGAGGCTTCTCAGAAGCCCTCGCGCCTTCTGAGAATCTTTTTTGTGTCTGCGGGGAAGGCTTAGGCAACTTCTCAGAAGGCTGGGGGACTTCCGAGCCCTCTGAGAAGGCCTGCCCTTTCTCACTTCCCCCCCAGGCGCGCCGCCGAGAAAAAAGGGTTCGGCAGCGGGGCTTGCATCGGAATCGGCCAGTGTGGGCGATGGCCGGGGGAACTCGGCACAGGGCCTGTCCTCTGGCGGTCATCTTTTTCGTGGCATGTTCCATCCCATATTCCTTCAGCTTAGCTTCCACTGGGTTCGCTGGACAGGCGAACAGCTTGACGTCTGCGTTCGCGGCCTTGCCGGACGACCTCAAGGCCACCAGCGAAGCCCCGAAGGCTCCTAATTGCAGTCGTTGCCGCAATGACAATGTGCTTCTCTGCCAGTCCTCTTGTGACAGCTTCCTGAAAGCTACACGGTTCAGCCCCCGAATCCGAGCAAGGGGGTGCAGAAGGACAGCAGGGAGGTCGCCATTTTTCGAAACCGGTTCCGCATACGCGTCAGGGGGGTCGGGGATCGACCGCCATCCCGTGTCGATGTTCGAGGCTCTCCCCGTCCACACCGCGGCTGAGTGCATCGATGTTGGGGCTTCTGAGCAGATGTTGCTGTGGTGCCGCACGGATTCTTCAGCTGCGGCAAGCGGAGATTTGCACGCCGTTGCGTCTGTGTGTCTGCTTGGGTCCTGGCTTGCGCTCTATTTGGCCGGTTTGGGAACGATCACTCTACACCCCCTCGTTTGGTACAACAGGGCGCTTTTAGTTTTGTCGCCTGAGGGTAATGAGGTCAAGCAGCGCTGCCTTAGTGTCCCATGGATGGCGCAACCCATTGACCGCGTCGTAACCTGTGGCGCACCCAATGGATGGCGCAACGTATGCCGGACCCATGGATGACGCAACGTGTGACCCAACCCGTGGACCGCGCAACCCGTGGCGCGCCACATGGGCGGCATACACCTCTGGCAGGCTCCACGGGGTTGCGCCCGAGGTTTTGCGCGCCGCTACGGTTGGCGGTGGCGCCCGGTCGGCGAGCTGTCGCGTGATGAGCAGCTCATGGGCAACGTTCGGGGGGGATGGGCTCAGCGGGGAGCGCATCGACCCCCAATCGCCCACGGATCGCCGACGGGGGCCTCATCGCCCGCCCCGCCAGGAAGCTGCGCACTCGCCATCGGGGGCACGTCGCGGATCTGTGGGCGCTGCATCGCCGATTCCAGATTCCCACTCAGCGCCTCCCCCTCGCGGCCAGCTCCCCCCTTTACCAGCCTGGAACATATCCCTATCCCTATCCCTATGCTGGGCACCTTATTCCCTACCTAGGCTCTGCCTAGAAGGGTTCTTACTCGGTTTGCTTAAAGGGCCGGGCAGTGCTAACCGCCCCGGGCGGTTCCCCCGGTTGCGCTCCCTGGGTGCTCAGCAAAAGCAAAAGCAAAGGCAAAAGCAAACGCGCGTTTCCCCCAGTTGCGCTCCCTGGGTGCCAAGCAGAAGCAAAAGCAAAGGCAAAAGTGCAGGCAAAAGCGAAGCCACATCAAAAGCATTGTATAGCATAGCATAGCATACAATAGCATAGCATACAATAGCATAGCATAGCGCAGCATAGCATAGCGCAGCATAGCATAGCATAGCATAGCATAGCATATCATATCATAGCATAGTATAGCATAGCATAGCATAGCATATCATAGCATAGCATAGCATAACATAGTATATCATATCATAGCATAGCATAGCATAGCATAGCATAGCATATCATAGCCCAGCCCAGCATAGCATAGCATAGCATAGCATAGCATAACATAGCATAGCATAGCAGAGCATAGCAGAGCATAGGAGCGTTTACCGCTCCTACTAATGTTGCTCTCCTCGAAGCTCCAACTCCCAGGTAGGGTCGCACTGGGATATTTTTTTGAGGGCGAATCCCTAAGATTATCATCGCCCCTTTTGGCGTGCCAATCTTAGGGATAGGGATACGTTCGAGGCACCCCTCAGCAACGGTACCCCTATCGCCTCTCGCGGACACAATTGCTCCCTTTGCGTACTCAGGTAAGTGGCCCCAGCCTTTCAAGAGAAAGCTCATGGAGATGCAGGTGTTGGGGAGCGCCGAATACCAGCAGTTTGTTCGCGATGCGCCGACACTTCGGCACTCCCCAGCTGCTGCCCCCTCTGCTACCTCTCGTGCCAACGCTAAGTACCTATCGCTACGGTACCCCTCAGCAACCTCCGCCCGCGGGGATCGCCGACGCTGCCCCCCGAGCGCCAGCCCCTGCGGCGCATCGCGGCGCGAGGCGCCGCGATGCGGCGCAGCTCGGCCCGCGCGCGAACGGCACAGGGCAGACCAGACCAACACACCGGGATCTGGGGGGGGGGGCCTCGCGCTCCTCCTGCGCCTCCTCCTCCTCCTCCTCCTCCTGATCCTCCTTCCGCTCCTCCTGCTCCTCGTCCTCCTCCACCCCGTCCTCCTCCTCCTGCCCCTCCCCCAGTAGCAGTCGGAACCCTGGAGCGGCCCTGGAGCACGCGATGGCCCGGTGCAGTCGAGGCTGGGCCCGCCGCAGGTCGCCCTCCGCCCGCACCGGGGCCCTGGTCGACCGCGGCCCCCCGTCCGCTCCCGTCGCGCGGTGGCTTCTGCGACGGGCTGCGGGGTGCGAGACATTTGAGTGCGCGGTTGGGCGGCACGTAACTTTGGAGTTTGGACACTCGGTAGATCACTCAGCTATTTCTCACACCGATGCGCTGCGTTCCTATCATGTCATCGACTCATAGGGTTAGGCGACGCCCTGACGACGTTGAAGTACGAGGTGTGCTGGCGTCGCTTGCGCGACCGCGGCATTCTACGGCCCCCTTCTTTTGATGCTCCTCTTTCCAGTTCTTGTCGGCATCGTCCTCTCCTCAGAGCACAAGCTTGCCCGTGTCAGTGCTCAATGACAGCGTCCTGCGGCGACTCATTTTCACTCCGTGGGAGCCTTGGCGGCACCCGCTGCTGGGAAGACCGGCCGTCCGTCGTCCTTGCCGTGCGCGTCGCCGTCTCCGTCGCCCTTGTTCTCATCCTCCTCGCAGTCCTCGTTGGCGTCGTCCAGTCGTCGTTGGCCTCGTCGTCGTAGTCGTCCTCCTCGTCCTCGTCCTCGTCCTCGTCGTCGTCGCCGTCGCTGCCGTCGTCGTCGCCGCCGTCGTCGTCGCCGCCGCCGCCGTCGTCGTCGTCGCCGCCGCCGCCGTCGTCGTCGTCGTCGTCGTCGTCGTCGTCGTCGTCGTCGTCGTCGTCGTCGTCATCGTCGTCGTCGTCATCGTCGTCGTCGAGGTGGCCGAGACGAGCGACACCGCGCCGCCGGCGGCCTCGCAGGCCGCGCGGGGGAGGGGGGAGGGGAGGGCCCCGGCGGCAGAGGGAGCTCTGGCCGGCAGTGCGGGCGGCTTCCGGGAGGGGGGCGCGGTGCCTCCAGTCGGTGCCGCCGGTGCTGTGCGGGGCGCTCCAAGAATCAAGGGCAGAAAAAACGCCCCTACCCTGGTTTGCGAGGCGCTGTGCTCTGAAACTCCTCTGGGCTGACAGGGTAAACCCTGCGTGATGTGCCGCATCCTGGCGGCTCTAGGCTTTGGGGTTCCCAGGAGGTTTACAGACGATGCACTTGTTATCCAGGGTAGGGTCGTTTTTTTTCATCCCTCAAAAGAAAGGTTTTACCCTCGAGGATAGAGGGTAGAGGGAGTTGCCATCTCTGCCGCCGCGGAGGGGCGGCGGCAGGGCGGCGGAAGGTAAGCCGAGGCCGCCTCCGCCAGCGGAGGCGGCGGCGGAAACTCGGCGGAGGGCGGCGGAAGCAGAAAGGCGTCCCCAAGAGATGAAAACGTTTTTGGGTTCAGGGTTTCCGAAATTAACCAGCCTGGAACATATCCCTATCCCTATGCTGGGCACCTCCTCATCACGCTGCCAATCTTAGGGATTCCCTTATGTTTTGAGGGCGAATCCCTGAGATTGCCATCGCCTTTTGGCGTGTCGAACTTAGGGATAGGGATACGTTCGAGGCTGGTAAGAAATCCGCCACGTGTGCTGCGTCGTCCCCCCCAGGGGCGACGCGCGCGCTTCGTGGCAGGCGCTTTCTGGCCACACCGCTCGGGAGACGATCTACTACAGGATGGGTGTGCTATGTGTTCGGGTCGGACGCGCGCGCCTTCAAGGAGGACACATAGCACCAGTACAGTCGGGGCGCTGAGGAAGGAATCCTTTTCGCTGGGGAGGGGCTCCGTGTTCCTTAAGTGTTTCGCAGCTTGCCTCAGGTTGTCCTTAGGTTTTCGATGGGGAGGCGAAGTTTGACTTATGGAAAAAAGAGGCCTCGTTCCTTATTTTGGGCTCCTTCGGTCAAGGCCCCGACTGTATGTCTCTGTGCGTTTCATCCAGTTTCAGGCCTCCCGGGTCGGGGGGTGCTGAAGGTGCCCCTGCCCCAAGGTGCCCCCAGCTTGTCGCTGCAGTTTGGAGCCCCTGGGGCCCTCTGGGCCTCGCGAGGGGTTCTCTGGAGGCCTCGGGGGGCTCCTTGGAGATCCTGGGGGCACCCAGGGCCAGGGGCACTGCACCCGACGAGATGGGGTCCGAGCAGCTGGGGTCGGAGGATCGCGACGCATCGCCGATGCATCGGCGATGCTGCTCGATGCGGAGCCCCATTGTTTCCACGCCGACGTCGCCGATGCATCGTCAATGCATCGGCGATGCATCGCCAATGCATTGCCGATGCGGCGCGACCCCATCTACTCGGACCCCATCTGGGAGGCCTCTAGGAGCGGTGTCTCCAGTCGGATCGGATGAGAGCCCAGACCTCTAACGTATTGAACATGTCAACACAGTCATTCTTTGTTTTCGATCTCTGGGGGCCCTCACCAGGCCCCGGGACCTTCAAAAACGATTCAGGATGCCCTGGGGAAAGGGTCGAGACTTCCAGGGACCGCGTGCTGAAAGAACCAGGACATCGCATGTCGCGAAGTCGACAAGGGCCCCGGATCATCAGGGCTGTAGCCAGGGGCAGCTACTGATTCGTGCCTCGGTGGCCCAAGCCGGACTTGTCCTGGACCGGAGTTATCCCAGATAATTCCGGTGTCCAACCACTCCCGAATCATCGGGTTTGGGGGCGTTCAGGGGTAACTCCTGGTTCGCTCGTCGGGGGCCCAAACTGCAGTAAGCCCGGACCAGAGTTATCCTGGATAACTCGGGCGTCCAAGTCGAGAAGCAAACAACGGCACAAGCGCGCTCGGTAAGGAATGGGCCCAGGGGCTTCAGACCCTGGAGGGTTCTTTATCTAATGCGGTCGGCAGTGATACTCATGGCCGTCCACGATTGGAGTTCCACGAGCTTCCAGGCCCTGGGTTCCTTGCCCAACGATTCCTTAGCCAATGACCTCACCGTAACATACAGATTCAGCGGTACGCGCAGATTTTCCGGGTAGAAGATGGAGCCCGCTGGCGGCGCCCGCAGCAACCTGGCGCGCTCCGCGCGCCACGCAAAGGGGTCCAGCGCCGATCCGACAAATCCGCGCGGACCTCCAAAAGTTTGTGTTTATGCCATGCTTGTTTCTTGAGAGAGGGTGACTTAGAAAGGGGTTCGAGGTTGACGTATTTTGGGCGGTGTCGGGGGCCCTAGGAGGTTTTCAGCCTCGGGATGCTCTCCAACAGCTGCGCCTGGCCGAGAGCGTTCCAGGGGCGCCTGGATCGTCCCGAGCGGTCGCGGGAGACGTGAGCTGTGATCCGAAAGCCAGACAGCCAAAAGACGAGGATCATTCGGGTCGGTCGAAGGGAAAGGGGGTCCAGCCTCGCCCCACCGCGCCCCGCCGTGCTACCCCCACAGGGGCTTCCCCCGAGGAGGAGGAGGAAGAGGAGGAGGAGGAGGAGGAGGAGGAGGAGGAGGATGAGGAGGGAGGAGGAGGAGGAGGAGGAGGAGGAGGAGAGGAGGAGGAGGAAGGAGAGGAGGAGGGGGAGGAGGACAAGGGTGCGCTCGCGTCAACATCTGACATCCTACCCCTCCCTCCCATCCCTTACCATGGCGCTGATTTTCTCTATCCGCGGACGCGTGTCGTAGCGGACCTGTGGCTCCGCGCGCGTGTGCGTAGTGGGTGGTGGTGCGCGTGCGTGCGTGCATGTGTGCGTGGTTGTGGTTGTTGGTGGTGGTGGTGTGTATGTGTGTGTGCGTGTGTGCGCGTGTGCTGTGGTGTGACGTGGTGTGGCGTCTTGGTGGTTTGGTGGTGGGCCAGGTGCGTACGTGCGTGATGGCGGTGGTGGTGGTGGCGGTGGTGGTGTGTGTGTGTGTGTGTGTGTGTGTGTGTGTGT